GGGAGGGGGGCATGTGCATTTTGGTTTTTTCCCATCTCCCTCCTGGCATTCCCTGGTTTTGTGTGTGTGTCTGTGGTGTTAGTTTGAGATCAGAAATGAAGATGTATCAGTGTTTCTCATGTGATTCCAACTTCTTACCCAAGCTTTGGGTCAAATCTCAGTTCTTATTTCCTTGGGATGAAAAGGGGCAGCTCATGACACATGAAGAGTTATCTTAATTCTGTTGTCATACGTTGTATGATGCTTTACAGCTTGATCAGTACATTTTAAACCCTCTAAACCAGAGTTTTCAAAGTATTTTTCTGTTGTTTCACTGTTGGATTGCAATTCTGAGCTGTGATTGATAGGAGTTGAATATTTATTACATTGGGAAGGATGGGATTCTCTACCCAGGCTGGGCTGGGTTGTTTTGGCCTTTTGTGCAAATTATTTGAGCAACATAAACACTGGTTTTTATCAGATAGTGTTTGGTTTTCAGTCTAGAGTGGTGTCAGCACAGGCCTTAATTAAATTGTGGCTTTTTGGGTAAAATTTATATATCTGGGAACACATCACTTTCTGTGGGGCTCTAAATCCTCCTGAATTGTTGGTTCTGTGGGGCAGAGCTGTGCTCTCACATCGCCAGAGCAATCTCCAGGCACAAGAAGAGTGTGATAGAAATAATAAATAAACTAATAAATCAGTTTTCCTCAGCTCTCACCTCTTAAATTGGGGTCAGAAAGAAACGCCATTGGTGGCAGAAGCAGTGAGGAAACTGCAATCCCTGATGTCCCACGAGGAGCACGACTTAAAATCACATTTGGCATTTAATTTAGGGAATACAGAGCCAGTGCAGAAGGGAGATGTGTCAGGCACACAATTAACTCTGATAGGAGGCTCTCAAACCACGGGGTACCTCAGGGAGTGATTTGTCACCACCTTCCCAGAGGGGATCTTTAATTGGTGTGTCATGACACCAAATCCATGACAATTGTGTTATTCTTGCTGCTGTGGGCCAGGGAACCCAAATAAGGGGAACAAAAGCTCCTGGAGGAATCCCACAATGTTTTAAAAAGTTCCATCTTTCCTCCTCCCTGTTAAAATTGAGGAGCTCTTTCCACAAACCCACTTTTTGTGATTCTTTCTCTCTTGTTCAGACAGAAGTGTGGAAATACATCAGATTGTGGATGTGGGACTCCTTCGAAGCCACAGGGAAAGTCCTTGTCTACTGGAAGTAGTATTTAATGTTTACAATATTATAAACAAGCAGTAATTGCAATGTCTGTGAACATCTATACAACAGTTATGGACAACTGTGGAGCTTATGGACATCTAGGTGAATATTCATTTACGTGATATAAAGTTTACATTTATTTAAGGTAAAGTTTGTTTAATCTAAAGCTCCTGTGCTGATCACTGGTAGGTGTTTCCTGCCTTGTGATACACACTCAGGGTGTGCAGGTAGGGCTCCATAAGGCACCAACAGGTTTCAATTCCTGATAAATAAACATGGAAATAAATGATGGGACCAGCTAATTGGATTTGAGATGGTGGAAAGGGACATCAGATATTTTCTTGATACAGTTGTGTCATGTACGAATGTAGGGGTTCTGACTAAATTAATCAACTTGACCTCCCAGAGAACTTCAAAGGGGGGTGTGAGAGGCGCTGGGCCTCTTGTGAAATGTGCTGCAAACATTTGTTCTGGTACATTTGGTTCTCAATTTACAATGAGGAAGGTTCATTCATCTGCAGAGACATTGCTTAATGGCCTCCATGCAGCCAGAACCTTTATTAATCTCACATTTCATGGGAAGGGCAGAGCTGCTGAGTGCTGGAAGAAGTGGCATTTTAACTAAACTGGTGTTTGTGTTCTGATGGCCAGGGTTACATTTCATCCTGACTTCTCACTCATCTCCAACTCCCCTGGAATACCCAAAGGTGGCTGTTACAGAGCAGCTTCTTCAGCTTGGTTGGCCTTTAGTGCTGACAAGGTCCTTGTGTCAGTGTTTTGTGGAAGCGCTCCTTCATATTTTCCCTTCCCATGGAAGAGAATCCATGGCAGAAACAAGAGAGTTAGTCTTGTTACACTTGACACGTGTGGTGAATCAGACACGTGGATGTTGTGCTATTTATTTGCTTTGAAAATTAAAATAATGCCAAACATATGTAATGCATAAAGATGTGTGAAAATGGTTATGTCTCTGTACAATATTCCAAGCTTGGCCTGGGATGAGGGCAGGATTTTCCCAGTGGTAGGAAAACTTCCCCAGCTCTTGTTCTGAGCTTTACATGCCCAGGGGAAACAGTGTGAAAAGCAGAGTGTGTTGAGAAGCTGCTTTTTCTCCTCCTCTTCCCCCTTTCTGGCCCTTTTCCTGCCCCTGTTTCATTGCTGCAAGTGCACACAGGTTATATTCCTTCCTTCAGTTCACTGCTGGGGAGGGAAAAGCCACCAGACTTAATCCATAAAGGACTAATATTACCTGCAGCATCTGCAACCGTGCTTGGGCTGTGTCTCAGATGGCCTGGCATGAAATAATTCCCATTAAACATTAATCAGGGGGCACAGATGGGTGTCAAGTGCTTAGAACTGCAGCAGGGAGAGAATCTGCAGGATCATTTCCAATATTTTTGTGATGTGATGAAGTATTGAATGTCCAGCAGTAGTCGAATATTCTGGCAAATGCTCAAAGAATTGACTGTTTTAAAGGTGCAGTTTATTTCCAGTAAAAGTCCAGAACACCTTCCATAGGAAGAATAATGGGACCATTCCAGGATCTCAGTGGGAAGGGTTTGGGAAGAGTTAGTCATGGAGTTTTAGAGACATAAACAAGTTAAAGAAATAATGTGAGTAAATTTATTGTAATTGGTAAAAAGGACTGGGTGCTGTGACATCCATGTTCTGCAGGATGAGGGGACAGCCCTGAATGAGGGCCTGATTCCCAGGATTATTGGAAAATAGGACATATTATCCTCTGCACTCACCAGCACAGCCAACAGCACATTCCTGAGGAGAAATCCAGGGGGAATTGCCAGAAGCCTGAGAGACTGTGGAGTGAATCCATTTGTACTCTAGAAAGTGCTGATAAAGATGTAAATGCAATCTCATTATTTGCCAGTCTTTAAACTGAGACAGCATCTGAAAAGCTGATTGTTTGAACTGTGCTGTGGAAGGGGGCTCTGATCACATCACCCTCCCTTACCTTCCATCCCAGTGGAATTGCTGTGGGATAACTTGTTTAGAATCTTTAATACAGCTGCAATATGGCCAAATCCAAACATCTGGAAATCCTCAGGGAAGCCTTACTGAGCCTTTTCAAAATCATGAGGTTAATTAAAAAAAATAAGGATTTTTAAAATAAAATTTTAAATTATTATAAATTAATTTTGTTTGTTTGTTTGTTTATCTCTTGTTTTGGAGTGGCACAACCTGGTTTTCTCTGCAACCAGCAGGTTTCACCTTCTACTTTGAGTTAAAATAAGTGGTAAACTACTGAGGGTGTAAGAACCAGGCCAGATCTCCTCCTCTTGATACACAAAGAAGGAGAGATGGAGGGGCCTCCACTCTGAGCAACAAATGTTCAGGTTTTCAACCCCTAGATTATTTGAAGGCACGTTGCAAAGGTGCAGATCTCCAGTCTGAGGTGTCACTGCACCTCTGTGTTCCAGATCATGGTGTTTCCGTGCAGATTTTGTTCAGCTCTGCCCAGCTCTCATCATGGGGGTGTTTTTTGTGCCTCTGGAGGGGCATGGGATGGTTGTGCTGGGGAGGCCACACAAACCCCGGGAGCAGCATCACCCTCAGGGCTGTGAGTTTGGGCTTGGAGGCCCATTTTCCCTGGGCTGTTTTTTATTGGAGCAGGAATGTGATCACAAAGCTGTAAAATTCAGTGGGATATAATTCTGTAACCCAGCCCTGCCGTTACTGGGAGTGTTAATTACTCCATCCTTAACCCTCCTGTAGAGCACAAAGGAGAGTTAACTGCTTTGGCCCAGTGTCAAGCTGCATGTTGGGGTTTCAGAACTTCAAGTCTTGGATCTGAAGCAAAGGAGTTTTATGAACTGGCTTTCAGCAGTCGAGTGCTCTGTAAATCAGCAGAGTTAGAACCCAGCCCTGCTCTTCTGCCCATGGGTTTGCACAGCTGATTATCAGCATGGTTATATCTGAAGTAAATAAGTGGGGATCTATTAATGCAATAAAAGTCTGCCTGAATATCAGGTTTAATGAAACCAGGATGGGCAACACCAGGCTTTGAGCAGGGCTTTGGTGCCTCAGGTCTGAGCCATAATCTCTGCAAAGGCACATTTATATAAGCAGAAAGTGCAATATATATATATAGGGAGAGAGAGGCAGACAGAGAGACAGTGTGTGTGTGCTGTCATGTGGAGGGGTGGAGGAGCTTTCGTGAATTCTTTCTCAATTTTGATTTTGAGCCTCTGATCTCTGTGCAGGCTTGAAATATCCTTCACAGGGTATTTGAAAATTGGTCCCTTACCTGAAGAAGTTTCCTGTGCTCAGGTGAGGCTGATGGGAGGTGCTCACCCTTCAGATGAGATGGGGAAGGACTGTGAGGGTTGATGGCTCAGGCCGTGGGGTGTGAATTTAGGTTAAGATTTGGAAGCTGCTGCCCCATTTCAGGCAGAGCCTTCAGTGACAAGGAAGGAATCAGATGTGTGTGTTTGTTCTTCTAAGGCTCCTGGTGTTTGCTGGGCAATAGGAGCCATTTCCCTGAGTTGGACTGAAAATCTTCTGTGTTTTCTGTGTTGTGAGACTTGCAAATTGTGCAGTGATTAAACAAAATTATGCATTGATTGGTTGGGAAGTGTAGATTTCTCTCCATCAGATTTACACTCTTGTCCTGCTTGAGTGATGAGGAAGTCAGAGGAACTCAGAAGACACTGAGATTTCTGGGTGTACAAAAGCATTTTATATTGTCATGTAACTGAGCGGCTCAACAGGCAGGATGTGACATTCCTGAGGAATTGCCACTAAGTGTCCAACCTTCTGTCCTCCTTTGCAGAATGATGAAGTCCTCTGTCCATCCAGAAGAAGATGACTTTGTGCCAGAGCTGCAGAGGAGCATCCACCCCCGGGAGAGGCCGGACTGGGAGGAGACGCTCAGCGCGATGGTAAAACACCTCGGCTGTGCTTTATACTCATTATTGCCACTTCTGAGCACTCTTCTATCCCACTTACCCATTTACATTCCCAGAGTTTCAGCCTTTTAAATGGATTGCACAGTACTTTGAACAAGCCCCAAATGCTTCCCTTCCTCTGGCAGTGTGTCAGGGAGAGGGAAGCAACACACTCAGCTCCTCTGCCCTGTTAATACGAGCCCCAGAGCAGGGCTGGGAGCCAATTAAAAGGTCCAGAATGTCACAACGATTTTCAGTCTGCATTAACCTCTTTTTCAGCAAGACTCTGAGCATGAAGGCAGCTTCTTGTAAAAACATGCTCTTTGAAGCATGCAGCATTGTGAGAGAGTATGATTTTAGCAGAATGCTGGCTCAGTCCACAGGAATAAAGGCTCAGCCTGAGAGCAAATCTGCCGTCAGAGGGAGCAGAGCTGCAGCAGAGCAGACACAAAGGTGCTGTTCTGCTTACAGGCACTGGGCCCAGACAGCTGGATTACCTTAATATAGATGTTTTCTTCTTAAATGAGTGAGTAAAGTACCTGCAGTTCCACCTCCCCAACTCCCTCCAGCATTCACTGAGTTGGGAAGGTTGGATGTTACTTCACTGGCGGCCAAACAGGGCAATCAGATCAGGTGTTTTGGGAGGTTCACTCACCTCACAGAAGCTTGACCTGCCTTCTGTCAGCACAGGAGTGTTGTGTCTTGCTTGTTATTTTCAGATTTTCCAAATTGCCTCATTGGCAGACTAAGCTGGAGAGGGAATTGCCATCTGGGACAGAGCTCGGATGGGGGAAGGTGTGACTATTCCAGGACAGCAGTGGTGCCCCCGAGGGTCAGTCTTGGCTAAGATCACTTACTGGGAAGAGCCCCTAGTGACAATTTTCCCCTGTGTTAGGTCTGGCTTCAGCCTGGAAAAGCCATCTGCTCCCTGCTCCTGGAATGCCAACAGCAGGAGAGACACAATGGATGTGTCTGTGCTGCAGGACAGTCAGATCCACCTGATGTCTGGGGTTCATCCCAGTGGGTTATTTAATGTTTAAAGCACTGTCAGTACCTGGCTGGGTTGTGTGGAGTGGGTTTTGGATGAGCTGTTCTTTGTGCAACATTGAGAAAAGGGGGGGATAATGAACTCCCTGAGAACCAGGGATTCTTTGAACAGAGGCACAAAGATAAGTCCTGTGGTTTACTCTTTTAAAAACGTCATCAAACCATATATAATACAATGGTAATATTTTGCTCCAAAATTTATTTTCAAGCCATAAAAAGCAACCCAAAGCATAGACTTCACCAGTGGTTTTGTCTCTGGTGTCTCTGTGCTTGTGGCTCTGCTTGACTCCTTGGTTATCCACTGTTAATGTTCATTGAATTCCAGACTGGCTTCCGTTGGGAGGGACCTTGAAGATCACCTCATTCCACCCCCTGCCAAGGGCAGGGACACCTTCCACTAGCCCAGGTTGCTCCGAGCCCCATCCAACCTGGCCTTGGACACTTCCAGGGATCCAGGGGCAGCCACAGCTTCTCTGGGCAACCTGTGCCAGGGCCTCCCCACCCTCACAGCCAACAGTTCCTTCCCAATATCCCATCTCTCCCTGCCCTCTGGCAGAGGGAAGCCACTCCCCCTTGTCCTGTCCCTCCATCATTTGTCCCCAGTCTCTCTCCAGCTCTCCTGGAGCTCCTTTAGGCCCTGGCAGGGGCTCTCAGGTCTCCCTAGAGCCTTCTGTTCTCCAGGTGAACCCCCCCAGCTCTCCCAGCCTGTCAGTTTTGAATTTCTGCAGTATTTCACTTCCTGTTTTTTTCCCCTCCTGTGTGGATGTGTTTCCTTCCCCCACCTTGGCCAGCAGTGCTCTGTGCCTGCAGTGTGGGAGCCCTGTCTGTGCTGATCAGTGCAGCGCAGGCAGCAGCTGCTCCGACCCCCTGGGGCCAGGAGTGTGCTGGGAGTCACCCCGTGCCATCTCTGTGCTGTCTGCAACCCCCAGGGTGTCTCAGAGCCATCAGGCTGTAATTCAGTGTCCCCACCTGTGACACAAGTTACCTGGCACATCTCATTTGCTGTTGTTTTGTGTCTCATTGTTGATTTACAGTGAAGGGAACCTTCCCCTGTTGGAGCTTGTTGTGCTCATGGACACTGTTCAGTGTTGGTTTTACACCTCACCCTGCACAGTGTTCCTCCCACAGTTCATTCACTATTCACTAATAGTCCTGATTCACTAATTCCTAAGTATTCCACAGTAGTGGAATATTCTTTTATAGCCTATCTGTCCTATATCTGTTATATCCTAACTATGACACAATAGTTAGTTCCACTAACTATTGGTGAATTAGGACTATTGTGGAATAGTTAGTGGAACTAACTATTCCACAATAGTCCTAATTCACCAATTGTCCTATTAATTCACAATTTAGAACATGTTCTCTCACACAGCTCAGTGACAGTAGTAGCAAAACTGAACAGTCCACTATGGAAAAGAGATTTCGAGGGTGATAAACAGGAAAACTCCCATCTTGCAGCACAGTGGTTTGGTGTGATGAAAGACAGTGTGAAGCCACTGATCCTATATTTGTAATGCCTTGGATTTGTGCTCACAGGGTTATTTTGACCTCAGGGTCCTGTGAAAGCAGTGTAGATATGGAGAAAATCCTCACTTGCTCATATTTACTGTGCTGAGTGAATCACATTTGCACTTTCAACCTCTGCCCTTTGTCCAGCCAGAGGTAATATTTAGCTGTAAATATTTGCAGGACCTTATTCAACACTGTCACTGTTCTCTGCTTAACCAGCACATCTTCAATATTCTACCTTTTCCCTGATCATTTTAAACCTGAGATTTTCCCCCTCCCTCCATTCCTTCACTTCATATTTTTAGCAGCTTCTGATTTAACCTTGTCCCAGAGGATGCTCCTTCCATGGGTTGTGACCATCTTACAGCGCCACAATATGTGGAATTCTTGGTTAGTGGTTGTTGAAATTGCAGATTTCAGGTTTTGGTGGTGCGTGAAGTTCCAGCCCCTGGGGAATGGAGGGTTGGAGAAGTTGTTTTCTCCCCTCCATCGCTTCCCCTGGCAGACCTGGAGCCCTGGTGGGCTTTGGCACCTCACATGAATGTCACCTCTGCCAGGTGAGCCAGCACTGGGACAAGTGACACTGGGAGAGCTTGGCAGGTCCTGGCACAAGTGATGCTTCTTCCCCTGTCTCCTGACCTTTGCCTTTGTACCTGCTTTTGTACTTTGGGAAAAGGCCATTTTTTACTCACAGTTACATGAACATACTCAAGTCATCCCTACTCTTCCTTCCCCTCTTATCCACAATATTTTTCAAAGTGCTTATTATTAATTGATGTGAGTGCTTTGTTTTGAGAGCTTTTTCTTAACAAGAAATAAATTGAAGGTCTTTCTAAATGCATGGAGGTTGAATGACCCCTGTACTGTAAATAAAAGTGACAGAAACTCTATTTTTAATATTTCTGTCATTGCCAGTTCATTCTAGGCACCCGAGCTTTGGTCCTTTGTTGGATGCTACTTTTACCATGTTCTTTATGCTCATTATTTGTATTTTCACCTGCTTCTTAAAACTGCTTGTTTGGTGTTTGTGGTTTAGCAGGAAGACAAGGGATTTTGTGTTGGAGACCTGTTTTGTTTAGGGAGAATCCCAGAATCCCAAAATGGTTTGGGTCAGAAGGGACCTTAAAGCCCATCCAGTGCCACCCCTGCCATGGGCAGGGACATCTTCCACTGTCCCAGGTTGCTCCAAGCCCTATCCAACCTGGCCTTGGACACTTCCAGGGATGGGACATCCCTTCTTTGGTATTTCTGGTGGTTCTTGACTCCCCGGAGTGGTGGATCCAGTGCTGTAGGAGTTGAGGTTCAGGCTGGAGGAGCAGCAGCTCTGGCTGGACAGAGCTCCCAGGACTGGGGGATGAGGTGGCTGCTCCTCAGGGACTGCTGTGGTTTGTATTCCCCCTCAACTCATGGCTGTATTTTCAGAGCTTAGACAGATATTAGACACGTTTTTGTGGCTGTCTCAGCCCCCAGTTCCCTGTGTGCTGCCGTGTCCTGCTGGGTGACCTTCCCACAGCCCAGGTTTTCCTGCTCTGCTCCACTTCAGAATGTGCAGTTGGTGATAGGGACTTTCTTTGTAGAACACTTGTGGGTTCTGGGGCTGAAAAGCCATGTGTGAGCCAAGTCAAACTGCAGGATATGGATTTTCTAACATTTCTCTGAGACAATAATGTTATTTTAAAGGAAAGGGATCTCTTCTCCTTGTCAGGCCCTGCCAAGAGCTCTGTTTCTACCTTACAAGAAATGAGGTTGTGAAAGTGCCTTTTTGTGATATTTTTCTCAGGAGCCTACAAACAGCTGTCCTCAGCCTGCATTAATTAGCAGCAATTGGTATTTGTACTCAGTATTCCCTTTAGCATATGGCAGTGACCTCCTGAGTCACTCCCATCACCTCTTCACCAGGTCAGTAAGTTGGGGTGTTCAAAAGCAGTGAGCCAACAGCTCTGCCCCAGCAGCTGCTGTGCTCAGGGACACCTCTATCCCCACTGCCTTTGTCTTCCACTTGTCTACATTTTGTGGAGAAGTGGATTGAAACAGTGAGACAAGTGCAAAAATCTTGATTTATACCCCCCATTGAAATTGTGCTGTCACAGAAAGGTGCCCCTGCAGCTGGGTTAACCTGGCACTGCAGATGGCACTCACTCCAAGACAGAAATAGTTTCTTTCCTGTATATATCTGTATCTATATATGTATCTGCTCTTTTGAGGCCCCACCTGCAGTGGTCTGTCCAGCTCGGGGGTCCCAGCATAAGAAGGACCTGGAGCTGCTGGAGCGAGTCCGGAGGAGGCTCCGGAGATGCTCCAGGGCTGGAGTCCCTCTGCTCTGAAGCCAGGCTGGGAGATCTGGGGGGGTTCACCTGGAGAACAGAAGGCTCCAGGGAGACCTGAGAGCCCCTGCCAGGGCCTAAAGGGGCTCCAGGAGAGCTGGAGAGGGACTG